CACTGTCATTGTTGTTGCGTTGGCACCATGCTTGTTTTCAAGCCGGTGGTAAATATATGGTAAATATATACAGTGACCACGTGCGGACCGAGAACAAAAGATCGGAATTTACGGATCATTTAACCACTGGCTCGAAGTATTCACTCCAAACGCGAAATGTTCTTCAGTTTTAAGCTAAAGCCCTGATCTCTTGTGCATGCACCATGCGTCAACCAGAGTGGGGAACAAGAAAAGAAAATACGAATAGGTCTGCTAACACAACCACAATACATGTCAGACAACCAAAACTGACGACAGCCGTGGCTTACCCTCAACGAAGCAGCTTTCTCCAGACGATCCAATTGTTCCTCATCCTCCTCGTCAATGAACGGCGGTGAATGCAAGTCGTCCAGATCATCAGCTGGCGAGGTGAGCAGTTGTGGGTATTCTGTGAGTAGACGTTCCTCTTGGAGAAATTTGCCTTTCTGCGTATCCGTTGGCGGTATGTACAGACCGTAGTTGGCATATTCAAAAGCATCCAAATGGCAACTGGCAAACACACGTCGCAACAGCTCCCGTACCAGAGTGTTTGTGGGCACTTTGTACACAAACTAAAAGAACGAAATTGAAAGGAATGGGGGGTGGGTGGGTGAGGTGGAGAAGAGTGGTTAGCACAGTTAATGATAACTGTGCTACGTGAAGATTCAGGTAAGTTGAAAGCTTCTCCGGTTAGTCTGAATGCCAATGTAGCCACGTTCGGTATGCATTTTGCACGTTCAAAATGTAGAACGTTGTTACATGATTGGATTGGTCTAGTCTCCAATCTTACCCTGGGGCCTGGGGAAGTAGTAGAGGAAGTAGACAAATTGTGCGATTTGGTCTCACCTGGGGGACGCATCACAGATGAAATGTCGGAGCGCAAACAAAAGGCTCGGTTGGCATTTGCCAACCTAAAACAGCTGTGACGCCGTCGCGACATACGGTTGTCTGTGAAGGGTCGAGTATATGTTGCAGCAGTTCGGCCAGTTCTGCTTTATGATGCAGAGACTTGGCCATTATGGGAACAGAATAAAAAATAGACTGTCGGTGTTCGATCACCGCTGTCTACGTCACAATGCACGAATTTGGTGGGGAAACCGGACGAGCAATGCTGAGGTTAGGCGTAGAGTTTCAGGCAATCGCGTTCGTCCA